TTGTATACGTTTTTGTTGTTCAAATTTAGATGATGAGGATGTAAACCTGAGGGGGTAGGGCTAAATAAGTATATACTTCTGCCTACTTCTTTTCAAACAACTGCATGGAATGATTTTATGAAACGTTGGTGAATGTATATGTTTGAAATAAAAAATAACTGAACTGAAACTCTCTTGTGTAAAATATAAAAACTAACATGCAACGTCCTTCTCTCAAAAGCACAGCCAGCTTTATGTACAGCTACCATGAACACAAACTTCGAGTTTAGATGATATTGTGTTGGTATTTTCTGAAGTGAAAACTCATAGACTATTATGTGTGTTGATCATTGTTATGACTTCCTCTCTGCCTCTACAGTAGAGCTAAATCTTCCTTACAAATACAAGCAAGTGATTTTAGTGTAAGTGTAAATAAATTCATGTTTAAGTTAACCCAACAACCCTGCTGTCTGAAGTAACTCGGGGGGGGGGGACGGAGGGGACGGACGTAGAAGGCAACATACAAAACCAAGAGTATGAACTCAAGAACAGCATGCTCTAATTGAAGCATGGGCCACAATGTTTTCTTGATATACGAATCTATGGTTTGGGTGACAGTTGAAGCAAGCCACCACCTGCCCCTGTATCACTTTCAGTCACCATGGTCCTGGGACAATGGGAGAAACCAGATAGCTTTAACAGTGCCAAAAGCACGCTGACAAGCTGACCACTCATATTTGATTTTAGCCTTCAGTTCTATGACAGCGACCAAACAGTGACAGCCAATGCAAACTGGGAGCTGGTTCCACAGAGCAGGGCCCTGAAAGCTGAAGGTGCTGCCACCCGTTCTACTTTTGCATACCGTAGGAATGACAAGTAAACCAGGAGTCTGAAAAAAATGTTATGATGGGATAGTATGAAACTATGAAATGATACGTGACTAAGACCTTTTATGTAAGTTGAAGGATTTTAAAATTCATTCTCAATTTAACAGAAAACCAAGAGAAGCTGACGGAATAGATATATGTTCTCTTATTGTAGTCCCAGCTAATGTCTTTGAAACATTCTTGGAGTTTAACTAACTAACTGGACTGCATCATATTCTTCTTCATAGGTAAATAAAGCTGGTAAAATGTATATTATGCCGTCTGAATATAGTGCCTAAATGAAGCCTGGATAATAGGAATAGAAATGGTCCTGGCATAGAACCCTGCGGAACCCCATAATCAGCCTTAGCATGTGAAAAATACTCACCATTATGGCAACACCCCAAAAAACACAGAAAGCTCATGAGCTCCTTCTTGTTTGGGGAAAACAAACATTGTTCAGGGGAAAAGGTTTTAAAACCGGTTCAACAGGTAAAGCCACTCCAACCTCCCAGACAAACAGGGCAGTGGATAAGACATTTCACACAGTTTTAGTGATCACATCCCTCTTTAACCAAGTCCAAAAGATGCACATCTGTAAATGGCTCTAAATGTTTTGGAAATCAAATGCCATCATTTGTGATGGGGGTCTTCTCTGTACCTGGTTTGAAACTTGCTGGCTCATAAGAGACACATTAAAAAGAGGAAAAGGAAACAACTCCCTTTTAGGTCAACGGAGTATTTATGGGCCCTGAATTTTCTAAACTACACGTTGATAGAATTGATAGTCTATAACCAAAGAAAAAGAGAAAATACTCACTCTCCCAGTAAATATTCTCTTTAGCAAAATCCCCATGGTGAACCCAATAAATCAAGTTGCTCTTAATTTGAGATCTTTGCTGGTTCTTTGCTTGAGTCCATTATGAAAAGAAATATTTACAATCTGAATAAAAATTATTCAGAAACAATTATTTAGCTGAGTCTAGTGAGCTGTCTCTCTTTCTCTGCAGAAGTTGCAGAAAGGATCATGACAGTTTTCTTGAAAAGTACATCCAAACATAAAATCTGCAGTGAAAGGTGTGAAAACCTAAAATAAACTGTAATGGGTCTTTTGTGGTCAATAATATGATATTAATAAAGCAGACAAAACTGAAACTTTTTTTATTGCTTTTTGTTCACATCACAATGAGAATCAGACAGTTTCAGAAACAAATGATGTTAAAAAATATGAAACGTTAGCTGGTTAACCAAAGAGCATCTGAATCTCAGATGTCTTTAAGTATGTCCTGTCCTGGTGTCTCCTTCCAAGTAGGAGGCCAGGTGGCTTTGATGCTGGGTCTGTTCATCAGATTTTTATAGTATTCTGTCAGTTTTGGGTACCGCTCTTCAGAAAGCCTACAGGAAAGAAAAACGCTGAAGTGAGTCCATTGCTATTTTTATTCCATCCAATCATCTAGCCAGGCTGCTAAGAGATGTTTCTGGTCATTTAGTCCACTTACCCATGGCGGTAGAGATAAGCAATGGCTGGAAAAACAATCACGTCGGCCAGGGAAAAGTTCTTTCCTGCCAGGAAACCACTTGATGTCTAAAAGGAAAAGGAGAAGTAGTTATGTAAGAAAAAATTTGAAAAAAAAAAGCTAGAAAGCACACAAAGTAAAATAAAAATAGAAAAATAGCCATCACAGGGGGTTATAGCCTGGCTTAATAAATGTTCTGCATTGATTATGTTTCCTTAAAAACCAAGGCAAGATTGACTTTGATGAATAAGGCTTGCTTTATTCTACAGACATGAAGATTAGCACTGCAGACTGATTCAAACTACCAGCATGGCCTTGTTCAAGTATAACTACATGGATGTCTAAAGATCAATAATTAACACATAAAATTTTGTGTAACACCCTTAAGGGCCAAAGTCTGAAGAGCTAAATTGTTCTTTTACAGCTTGCTAACCAGGATAGCAGTGTTAATGCTGTTAATGCACACCATTTCAAAACCTTTTGTTATTATACCTCATTTTTAAAAATTGTTTTAGAAAAAACTGATGGAAATATTCTGAGTTTTAGTTTAGCACGACAGACTGTAGGCATACACGTCATTCACATACCTTCTGCAGGTATCCCTCCCAAAGCTTGACCTCAGCGGTCAAAGCTTCTTTGTTTCTCTTAATGGCAGATTCGTGTCTCTCTCCCTCTGGGACCTTCCAGTTGTAGTAGATAACATTTGCTAGAAAAATATAACACACAAAAAAATAAGCCAACAAAACCTGACATACAATTATTAAAGTGTATCTCTAAAAAACCTAAATAAAATCTACCCACACACCAGCAGGGAATTTTACAAGTACCAAATCGCATGACAAACAAGTGACTTTACATGCAAAGCTAGTCTGAGCATGTGATCACTGGTGGGATTAACATGTGACCTGTTAACACCAGTCTCTGTTATGAGAGTTGCTCACCAGAGAAATGGACTAAGGGATTTCTTATGGCTTAATTATGTGAATGCACAGATCATTAGTGTCTGCAGTGTGTTTTGAACAACTAAAGGTCTCAAGGGGAGGCTGAGGAGGGTTGGTTGCTGAAGACAAGTGACAGTTGTTAGTGTGGTGTTGCCAAGTTCAGCAGTTCAAAATCCCAGAGCACAGACCTCTGAATGACAACATCAGCCAGGTCACACAGAAAGAGATTTAGCAGCCTTGATATATCCTTTACAGACTCACTAAATCCCTGTGGTTCTAATGTAGTTTGGGGTACACACACTGTGATGAAGGAAGTTCAGGTTTCAACAGTTATGTCACTGCACGGCAAAACAAAACTGAGACATATTCTGCATCTCCGAACTAACATACCCATTTTGTCTCCGAATGTGTTAACCTCAAACACACGCTGGAACATCAATGCTTGTTCCGCATCGCAGTCAGGGATCAGCTTGGTTCCCTGTGACTTGTACTTGGACTGTTGGGGGGGAAAAAAACAGCAAGAAGCTCTCCTTCTTTACATCTGTGGTATAGTGTGTCTGTTTTTACAATGCACTGTTAAAAATATAATCACAAGCAGCTCTGCTACCTAGGAACTCCATGGCAACATAGCATTTCAAGTAGGGCCAGATTCAGAGTTCTCACCTCTAGGAAGAAGCATGCACCGCATGACTCATTGATGATTTTGTCCCCACATTTGAAGGCAGGAAGCTTTAAGAGACAGTGCAAGGAAAACCATAAACACTTTGTTTAGTTCAAGTGTTCTAATTTGTGAATGCCAAGTGAATACTCCATTTACTCTAATTCAGGAAAACAAATGCAGATTTCAGAAATGAGAGTGTTTATATAGTGTGATATGAACCTACCTGACCCCTGGGGTTAATGTCCATGACTTCCTTTGACTTGTGCTCCCCCTTCTCAAAGGAGAGCAGTTTTTGGTTGTATCCTTGCAGGTTCTTCTCCTCCAGAGCGATCATTATCCTCCAGCAGGGAGGAGATCCGGAGCCCCACAGCAGAGTCATGTCCTTGGCCATGATTTCAGAGTGAAGCGCTTAACCTGACAGCTGAAGTTGAGGAATGTTTAAGACTGAAGCTGGAGTGGATGAAAAGGCTGGCTTTATAGCTCCAGTCCTCTATGTCAGGTTTCCTGGAATAAAGCCCCATCCCATTTCTGTGCTCCAGCCAAAGAGCTGTCACACCAAGATAGTTAATGCCGGTAAAGGTTAAACACGACATGACGTCAACCTGATCCTGATGAATATTTAAGATGTGTATTCAAAAAACAAAATAAAGTGAGATTTAGTAACCATTTCTTTGTGAATTGTCTTTAAAATAGAATGCCGCCACAAGTACTACAAAAGACGTGTGGAGGAGAGGTGACTTCTCTTGCTTTTTATAGAAACTCTTTGATCCGAAGGCGGCCAAAGAATGTGAGGGTACATGAGAAAGGGGAAACATGAAAAAACTCCAGCGAGTCAGGAAAAAAACAAAACAAAAGAAAACCCTTAACATTAACGGGTGAAAAACATTTCTAAGACATTATAAAAGACAACGAAGCCACACGGAAACAGTGTTTAAAGTAGGATATAGTGGAAGTTAGAGTGTTACTGCTATGCGCCCGTGTGGTTAGGGCTCTTGCATCTTTTTGCAGTTAATTCTCTGAACATTTTATCGCTAACTGTTGCATCTCAATATTGATCATTTAGAAAAGGGAAAAGAGTAAAAACGAACTGTGCTTTAGGTTATATTTGAAACGATTCCTGCAGTAGTTCGTTGTTTTGCTGCTGCTGCTGCTGCTGGTGAACGACGCCCTGAGAAGTGAAACTCACGGTGATTCAGCACTTTGTATTCAAATCTGCACACAGTTCTGACATGACCGATAAATCACAATTACACTGAATGCATCTAATAGGACCGTGACAATGCAAATAAAATAAAGTAATAATATTTTATTGTTGGTGCATACTCGGCAGTTTGCTTCTCTGAATCTTTGACCTCTTTGCAGCAGTTACATAAGCAGCTGTGAGTATCATTGTATCAGTAAGGTAATGACGCAAACTGTGTGTGCGCCTACTGCAGTTGCTATGTCGGCATTTTGAGTCCGTTTCAAAAGGGCAGTTTGTTCGTGCATGCAAAGAACAGTAGTGAATCCGGTTTGATAATAAATCGGTATTACAAAAATAACAAAGGCAGCATGTACAGAATGACAAATGCTTTCTCTCTCTCTCTCTCTCTCTTTAAATGCTGTTGGTTTTGTCATGTTGAATTACAACCTGTCATGCATCAATCACCCTCGTGCATGTTCCTCTTTTGTGTTTGGTGTTTAGAAAAGAAAGGTTTTTTGAAGCATTTTGAAAAAAAAAATCCCAATATTTTACTTTTATTTTGGAATATCAAGCAAAATTACCCATAAGGTTATAAGAGAGTTCCTGTATTTAAGAATGTAAACTCAATGTATTCTAGTACACAGCTTAAACTAAATTCAGAACTTGTACATGACTGCGATACTCGCTCATGACTCCTCCCACTTTTGTTTTAGTGAGGCTTTTTCATGAAGTGACATTGCAACAGTCATGTGGTCTGTGTTTGTATGGGCAGAAATCTGTGCCATCGGAAACTGAATTTGAATAAGTTATATGAATTAGCCTAATTTGAAATTCAATTTATTGGTTTGAAAATGATCATCACTAAACTGAAATTGAATTTTATAGTTTGAAAATGAATTAATTTGCTTTGTAATTGTATTTTATCCTTTAAAAATTTAGCTCTCGAATAATTTCAGATTCACTTCTCACTATTCAGTTTCAGTTCTACAATTCAATTTCAGTTCCAAAATTCAGTTTTTTGGAACTTACATCCGGTTCCGGTTCAAGAGTAATCGAACGCAGATTAATAGAACTACGTTTTACTAGCGGACCGAAAGTGTTACTGACGGGAATCTACAGCGTCTTGAGCTGAATTAAGACGTCAGAAGTCATTCATCATGTCGAATGACCAGCGGATAAACTCTCAGGTTGGTAATAAATGTATTACATGTATAAGGGATGCTGTGTAAGACATAAATAAAGCTAAAATACAAAGGTTTGGACACCGTTTTGCATGTTTCCCTACTGTAGGGGTCTCTGCAAGCATACAGGGCTCTGACAGGGTACAAGATGACAACTTTGGAATTCTACTAGAAACAGTCGATCATATTTGTTTGTCAAAGCTGAATTCAGGGCAAACTACACTAAATTAGCGTTTTTAGCTAACAGCTACAATAAGCATAAAAGTTACTGTACAGCTATCATTTGTTAACATGACGCTTGTTCTTATACATGTAATACATACATTCATTTTCAAACTATAAAAGTCAATTTCAGTTTAGTGATGATCATTTTCAAACCAAAAAATTGAATTTCAAATTAGGCTAATTCATATTCAGTTTTTAAAAGCATTTATTCAAGTTACAATTCACATTCAATCTGAGCAATTCAAATTCAAATTTAACATATTAAAATTAAGTTTCTGATGGCACAGATTTCTGCCCATATGTTTGTGTCAGTGTGCTGAGATGGCAGCAAAGTATTTAGAAGTTTTGTGTGTACTGATATTTATCTTTAGCCACAAGTTCACACACGTTTCAAGGCTGTTTCTAACCTGCAATGCAAATGTAGGCAGAGTAAAGTAGGACAAAGCACAGAGGTTAGCATGCCCAAGTAAACCACAGGCTGCTGGTTTAATTACTACGATCATAAATGTTTTAATTGCAGTTGCATTAAACCCCAAATAAACATAATGAGTAATACATTATCATCAGGTTGTTCTAAAAGTTTCCTGAACAGCCATCAGTTAATCCAAAGCTCTGTTGGGTTAGAGTGAGAGTGCTGACAGAGAACATTTAGATTTAACATTTAAAATTGTGTTTTAAATATAAAAAGTTACAAATATTTTACTAAATGTTGTAAAAAAAAAAAAGACTCGAAAAAAACATGTTTTTTAAGGATTTGAGCTAAATGTGGAGAAATGTTGCCGTTAATTTCAGCGTGTTTCACTTTACAAACGGCACCTGTGCATAACAGCATAACTGCACAGATAACCTTTCCTGTGTACTCTGCAAACACAGCTACTGGAAAATAATGGAAATGACTTTCTGTGATCCTTTTTTCCTCCATAGGACTTAAGCTGGCTCTCCCATTAAGAAAGAAAGAAAACACACACACAAACACACA